TGTTTAGAATTCAGTGTTTAGAATTCAGTGTTTAGAATTCCTTGCGCAAAAAAAAGGCAGATTCCAATGAAACGGTTTTTCTTCCATATCCTGCAGTTAAAAGGTGTGCAGCTGCATTTTGCACCAACTGGAGATGTGCGAGGAGCGACTGGTTCACCCCAAAAATAAAGTGCGTTACAGCCAGCCAAGATGTAACGGTTTTAAAGTTCTGCTGTGCAAAAAAAAAGGTTTGACATTAGCAAACCTCGTATATGATAAAAGCTGGACGGTTTTATTGATCTAATTCAAAATCACGTCCATCTTAGAACCCAAATTTTAGACAGCAGCCTTAAAAAAAACTAAAAAAGATTCAGCTCCCAGTAACCTTCACAAAGGTTACTGGGAGCTAAACACCATCACTTCAGTTTTTTCCTCATTAAGATATAAAAAGCTCAGAGCCAACCAGGCTTTAATGTCACTAAGGCCTGTCAGTAGCGGTGCGAGGAAGGCGGCATTTTTAATGCCCACATATATCTAACAATCATCAGCATAGAAATGTAAGAGATGCTTTAGAATGGAGCCCAGAGGCAGCAGGTACAACCAGAAGAGAAGGGGTCCTAAAACTGAACCCTGTGGAGGAACCCAAGACTTTCCAAGAATTTATGCAAAAATAAACTTCTAATAATTAAAAGCATTAATCAGAGAAAACCCACTCTATCAGGGTTTATATAAAGGAAGGAGTAACTGTTATTTAATGCTTTTTATTGCTCTTAGAAATAATTTTAATGCCATCAAGTAAGTACCCATGACTCTCATATATACAAAGAAATATCCTCCATCTTTACCATCGTCAGGCTGCAGCCGTGTCCGGAATTTCGCGTTTTCCAGACATTTTTGTTGAAATTCGCCTTTCCCCGTTCTCTAGCTTTTTCTCTGCCTCAAGCTTCTTTTCCGAACATACTTTTTTTTATGATCAACCAGAAGCAGTTCCGCGCAAACATATCGCGATATAATATATCTGACGAAAGAGTTTTTAGAAACTTTTTTTTTTTTATAATGCCACAATAATTAGATATAATGAATTTTAATTAAAAAATAAATCATTTAAATGGTTTTAATGACGGGAGGAAACCCTGGTTATAATAATTCCTCTAAAAGCTGCGATAAGGACGACTCTCCTGCTCTTCCTGAAGCCACAGATCTGTGCAGCTGCAGACTAGAACAGAAAACACGTTTCTGGTTCACTGCAGCATGAAATATTGAGACGCAGCCGTTTCCTCCCGAGGTTCAGAGATCCTTCACCTTCGCCGCTGCGGTTCTGGTTCCTGTGATTTCTGGATCACAGAAGCGAGCGGCTCCCTCGTCACGACGAGCACTAAAAATATCCCCTTTAAATAAAGATAAGTGAACTCGCTCGGCTGCGCCGGCCCACCTTTAATGCCTGATGACATCAGAGCGGCCCGCGGGCTCAGCGCTGAGGTCAGAAGCCCCCACATCCTGGCCCGCTCAGCTCTCAGTGTGTGTGTTGTTTGTTTTGCCAGCAGGCTGAGTCGGTCTAAACAAACATTTTAATGGAGTCACTTATTTATGATCCGTGTGCTGCAGGAGGACGTCCGAGCGCTTCAGCGTGTCGCTCTGCGAGCTGCATCGCCGCTGATGGAACATCGTTGCGTAACGCACCGCCGCTCTCTCTCTCTCTGAGTCTGTGTGCTTTCAGCCCCCCCTCCCTTTGAAAAATGTCAGATGTTAAGTGATGTTGAGACTGCTCCAAACACAACAACCAACAGCTGAAACACACACACACACTGACCTCATGCATCAGTGGACAAAATGTGAGTCAGACGGAGAGAGGCAGAGAAAAAAACAGAAAAACGACTGGAGGAAGAGAAAAGGAAAAAAGACAAGAACAAACTGAACTTAGAGAACAAAGGAGACGAGACTGAAAAAGAGATGAAGCAAAGAAGAAAAGAATGGAGGAGGAAACAATAAGAAAACAGAGGAGAGGAAGAAGAAGGAAGGAGTGAAATATGGGAGAAAATGGTGTTAAAAGAAGGAAAGGAAAGAAAAGACTGGAGAGAAGAAAGAAAGGAGAGACAAAAGATAAAACATGGTGGCTGGTTGGAGGTAGATCATTGCTCTGAGATGCATATTATGAGATTAAAACAGAAAAAGTAAAAAAAAAACTAGATATGCTTTTGTCAAACTGAAATTATTTAGTTTCTGCGTTTGTGGATCTGTTTTCTTTTTCTGATTGTTTTGCTTCTGGTGTTGAATGCTGTGAAACCAGAATGATGACAAGTGGGTTTGTTACAGCTGGGGCAGCTAATTCAAATCTGAAATAATACTTCAGTTACCTCTGCAAGTTAACATTCAATTCTATTCAGTTTATTTCTATAGTTCCAATTCACATCATGTCATCTCACAGTTCACCAGATCATCGAGTTAGATTGATTCAAAGTTTTCTATCTAAGGAAAACCAACTGATTGCATCGACTCATTGACTTTCCTGTTTGGTTGCTGGGATCCGACACCCAAAGACATCAGGTGGCAGAATTATTAGTGAAAAGCTTTGAGCTGGTTAAAATAAAATAAAACACACGGTGATATATATCATGTATAGCGATATAGCCCAAATATATCATGACATTAGATTTTCTTCATATCACTATGCTGCACGGTG